TTAGAGATGAGAGATCTCCGTTCCTACCCATCTTTGTCATTGTTAATAAGTTCCAAGTGGTCACATCAGATCGTGGTCTGTTCGTCAGTGTGGAGCTACACTCATGTTCGTGGCAAGAGCGTTTAGGGCTGCGATTACTCTCTAAGTACTACTAGCAAGGCTAAGACTTAGTTCTTCTATTTTACCAATCTGTGGTTCAATCTGCACTCTTCCATTAAACATGAACTCAGACATTCCCATGGTTAGTTGGGCTCTCAACATGTTGACTATGGGGATATGAGATGTGAGATCTGATCTCAGAGCTAGCAAACTGCAGGGCAGGTAGCAGTCAGCACACCCAGCTAGGAACAGGAACTTTCAGACACCCTTTCTATGGAGTGTTTGGACTCAAACAGGGTACCCTGACTTCAAGCTATATTATAGGGATGTAAGTTATAGGGTGTAAGTTATAGGGATTTCAAGACCTAACTTAGTACACTTGGTCACATTGGGTAAACTCCTCCATCAAGAGCATGAACCCATCTTCATGAAAGAAACATTTAAAATACCAAATCACCTATTTCACAATGCAAGAGGACTTGTGTGGTTATCTGTGCCTTCACTTACAAGAGAGGAAAAGAGGGAGGGTAAGGGACCAGTGCACATGGTCAATAGGCATTAAGGGCAGACGGTAGGAGTGGGAAGCCATGATGGAATGGTGTGTATGGGACTTTAGAGTGGTATGTCAGAATCGCCTTTTCCTGGACAGCAAGGATTATATCCCCACCCCTGCCGCCACTTGCTATATCTCCAGAATGGACCCTATCACCACAGCCTTGCATCCAAGAAAAGAGGAAGATTCCCACCCACTAAGCAGCGCCAAGGTCATGGCTTAACCCGCATAATCAGGACATCCATTGCAGAGGGCGGGAACACTGAAAAGATAAAGGACCTCTTTACAACAGATTCTTCCTCCACACACACTTTTTTTTTCATAATTATAGCTTTAAGAGCTTATGGTGATAGAAAAGATGGCTTCTTAAGAAAAATTAGGAGGTTCATCTGGCAGGAAAGGATTCCCCAGGGGACAGTGCTCTGTCATTTTTCAGAGCCCCCCCCAAAAAAACCCTGCACCGACAACTGCACATTGGCCTGATGTATGGCCAGCCCGCCCACTTACCATGGCCAGAGCCTCATGTTTTAATTAAAAACACTCCGCATGCCATTAAATATGTTGTCTACTTCCATTTCGGCAAGCATAGAGTTTGCGGAGATACAAATAAGAGAATCCATTGCAGATGTGTCAGAGGCTATGGCCTACTGAGTCACCACCACCATGTCCCAAATTCCAGCCACAGAGAACCTCCCTAAGAAAATACAAAGTGCAAACAAATGGCCCCGCCCACAGTTTTCACAGCCTCTAGCAGTTGTTGTAGTTGAGGAGGAGGGTTGGCATGAGAACAGGAACTACCCTTACCACCGTCTCCCTTAATTTATAAGCAGAACCAATGACCTCACAAATGACTTTCTTGGTAAATAAAAATCTTCTGACCACATTTGGGGGTGTACCAGGCTGTTTCTTTTTCCCTTCCTAATGTCAAAAAAAAGCTACAAAATCAAATATTTTGGGTAGTCTCATCTGCATTGTGAGATCAGATAGGGAGTGCACAAGAGGCAATACTTGCTTAATTTAAGCATCTGTGTATGACTCTGGTACAAAAGTATCAGCTTATTTTATGAGCCTCTAGCCTGGGCATGGTTGTCCCCGGACTAGCTCCAGCAGCTGGGTTTTATTTGGGTTTGCCAGGCCACCCCTGAGCCTTCCCAGGGCAGCCCCAGCCCGCAAGAGTTTAATTTCTCCTTAAGTGTTTAATACAAGGTGACAGCTCCTAACACATTGGTCCTCTGATCAGCTTAAGTCAGCCAGCTATCAGTGGGGAAGTGTCTGCAGAGCCCAGGGTGATATTGACTTAGGTTATCTATAGGCCCTGTACCCACAGCTCCCTCAGACCAAGGCTGCCAGGACCTTCATGGGCATGGCAAGCTTTGGAGCAATGTATAGAAGAAAGATTCTGGTTCTGCAGCAGCAGAAGAGAAAAGCCCCATGCTGGGGAGTGATGCCAGCTTGTCTTAGAGTCCCAGACAGTGCTCGAGTGTCCTTGGCATCATATGGCGCTGGTATCTCTGTCAGCATCTCTGTTTTCTGTCACCATGCACAATCTGGGGCCTGTCTCCAGTCCTGACAGTGTCTTTTCAGATCAGGTTAGTGCCAGCCCAAAGACCAAGTCAGCTTCCCAGCACACAGCCCCTTTGTTTGAAGTCCGACCTTTTGTCATTAATGCACTCAGTGTCTATTTAAATCTGACAGTGAGTGCAGTATCTGTTTCCCCATCAAGAGATCATTGACAATATTAATAACTCACGACTTTGCCTCATTCTCCAAGTGTTGACACCTAGCCACAGTCTCCTGCATTCATCAAACTGCCCTCTCTCGTCAGGATGTCTATACACAGTCTTGCTTCCAGGCCCAGAGAAACAGGGCAGGCCTTTAAACGAACTTTTATCAATGCCAACTGAAGATGTGTGAGCGTGGCTCCGAATGCAGCCTCAGCCCACGTTCCAGGAACACTGTTCTTGGAGAGTGGAAGAAGTTCAGCACGGAGAGAGCAAAGACAGAGAACCTTGGAATGTATGGGCAAGTTCACCAGAGGGAGTGCAAGCCTGGCAGACCATGGTGTGTGCACGTGCCTGCCTGCTGTGCAGTTTGCTCATCAGGAGGACTGTGCTCTTCATGATGTTTGGCAGCCTTATCCATTTCTTTTTGTAAAAATCCATGCTGTCCTGGTACTGGAGAAAGAGCCCTTTGGACCATCCCTCCAAATTTGAGAGAGTTGCTTGTATCAGGTAGGTTTAAGGCCGCACCTTGCAGGGTCTCCCATGCATCTGAGGTATACCAAGCTCATAGACCACCAGGGTTCTGGCATGGGTAACGATGTTAGTACAACTCTAGGCTCTACAAAATACAATAAAGGGAACAGCTCTGTGTTAATAGCTGAAAGAATACGTCGCAAGAAAGATATGAGTGAGGTTTCAAATAAACTCAATATTTCCAGGCACTGGATAAATACTAAAAACAAGAAACTGGGGACTCGGGGCATGGAAGAACAGGAAAGTCAAGCCAGGCAGGAAAAATGACCCATAAGAAAGCTGTGCATGGCAACACAGCAAGAAAAGAACCAGGTTGCAAATGACGTCACCCTATCCCTCTTCCAACTCTGAGATCACCTAGGACCCCAGTAACTTTCATGTTTGCCTCTGGCTGTTCAAAGCAGGACATAGAAGTTTCTACAAATTATTTTAACCTGTATTTAAGAATTAAGTTTAGGGAATAGGGAGGAGGGATGCTTGGTAAAGTGTTTGCCATGCAAGCATGAAGACCTGACTTTGTTCCCCAGTGCCTAAATAAATAGGCGGTGTACAGCTGGTACATCTGTATTCTCAAAGATGGGCTGAGCAGAAAGAACCTGGGGGTTGCTGGCCAGTCAGTTAGCCGAATCCATACACTCCATGTCAATAAGAGACACAAAAAGGTAGACGGCAACTGAGGAAGACAACTGGTGTCAGCCTGTGGCCTACACACACACACACACACACACACAGAGAGAGAGAGAGAGAGAGAGAGAGAGAGAGAGAGAGAGAGAGAACACAAATTCATGAGACAGAAAACATGTTCTACTAACATTTGATGTGAAGGATAGAGCTGATCTCAAATTAGCGAAGAATGGTGTGTGCTGACCTCACCCTGCAGAGCTGATGAAATGCATAATCCTTTGCAGAGGTAGCAGTCATCACAGGCAGGTTTGGGGCTCATGGATTGGGCTTTATGTCTGTTTCCTTGCCTTGCCTTCTGTGTGCTTAAGAGAATTAAGTTCCATTTGTATACAGGCAGCTATGTGCAAGTAGATTTTAAGTTAGTTCTCCTAAAATTGGAAAGAAAAAAGGAAGAGGTGGTAAAAAAAAGCAATAAATATTTTCTTGGGAAAACACTTTTTGTTTTTAATAATCTTACAGAGTTTTCACAATGATTGTAGCCAATGTCTTTTGGGTATTTATTCTGTAGTATTGTGAATCAAACCTGAGACTTCACATTCTAGGTGAGCACTGCTCTTTTATTTACATGCCTAGCTTTTGATTTATATTTATTTGTTTTTTAGAAACAGCCTCACTATCCAGTCATGTTAGACTCGAACTCACCATCCTTCTGCTCAGTCCACCCAAATGCTAAGATTACAGGTGTGCACCTCCATGCACAGAACGTTTGTGGGTTTTATAATATATAAAGAGAAGTTGATTAGAACCCTCTCTAAGGCTGTGTTTCACAGTCTGTAGCCACAACAGACATGTTTTCTAAGGAGTCACAGACTAGCTATGGAGTCGAACTAAAGAGGAAATGCTTTTTCACATGAGAGATGAGTTGGGAATCCCTAAGGTCAGTGATCCTTGTGACTTGCCGTAGTCTTCAGTAAGCATGGCCTCTCTTCTTTAATCACCCAGCATGGGCTTTAAGTCCCCTGGGATTTGGAAATTCTCTCTGGAAGTCAACAGTATTGATTTCCAATAAAGGATTTCGAAATAGTCACACTCTAGGAAGATTACCCTTGAGTTGGATTCATCTGATTTAAGCTTAATTTTCCATTCTTAGAAACTAGACTAAGGAAATCTGGAGAGGAGGGGGTCAAACTATATTTCGGGAAACTATGTGTCAAATTATAAAAGTTCTTAAAATGAGGAAATCACCCATAAAACTGTTTATTTCTAGGAACCTATATTTAGTAGTGACATTTCATTTCAAAAGCCACCTCTGAGAACACGAAGGTACAGTCTTTGTCATCCGAGGCTTAATCTGTTTTCTACTTGCCAACAGATTAGCCATCATAGCTCATGGCTGCTAATAACAGCTGGATTTCTGAACTATATGAATTATGCCATTAGTAATGATGTGTGTCTCTTTCTGTTCACAGGTATTCTGGCGAAAGGTCGCTATTTTTATTATGGAAGAAACTCAGAGGGTAATAGGTTCATCCGAGATGACCAGCTCTGAAGCTAAATTCTACATGCCTTAACCTATTTCATGATAATAAAATGGAAAGGCAAGGGAAACCAGTGTCCACATTGTGTCTCTGTAAGACGGCTTTCAGTACCGTGCGCCGACTTTGCCAGGCCTGTCAAGATCATCCAACGGCCTTAGACTGAATGGTCACAGAGAGATTGACATGATTGCCCTTAAGCAGGCCTCATCCACCAGGGTGACAGACAGCAGTGGCGCAGCACCCGGGCTGACAGCATGAACACCATGATAGATTGCCTGGTCTCTTCGCTGCTCACAGGGGAACGGGGCTCACACCTGGGGCCTCCTCAGACATGCGCACTGGCTGCAGTTTAGTGAGAGAGACACTACTGAGATCGCCTTCTGAGTCCTCTGGTATCTCTGTGCTTCTGGTTTCTTCTCAGCAGAGTAGTCACTGGTACAGAGGAAGGGCATCCCCTTTAGCTTGCATATTAGGCATTACATTTAGCCAACTCATACACATTGGTTTTTATTGTTGGCAAGGTACTTCCATTTGCAGCCAGCATTCAAAGGACACAACTTCTCAACCAAGTCATCTATTTATATGTGGCTTCATGATACAACTCCTGAATTTCTGTAAATTCCTGGCTACCAAAGCAGTTTAGTTCAAAACCTACTAGTCTTGAACATGTCAATCACAGAGTAAGCCATATTTCCAGCACAGGGTTTGGCAAGACCGGAGATTTTCCTTTGGTTCTAACCGTGCTGTCAGCTCTGCCTGTGGCTCTATTCACCCCACAGGCTGTACTGTCCCTTTGGATGCTCGTTAAATGTAGTGAAATGAGAGACGGTGCGATGGGCCAGGAGGTTGGAAACCAAATGGAAGGTTGTGGAAATACCCAGCAGACCAGACAGGTTTGGGAGAACACAAAGCTTTAAGCGTTCTTGTTTCTCTGAGAACCTCTCAGGAGTCAGTTCTGTAGTTGACGCGACATTTCCAGTTCTTTCTTTAGCTATGGCTGCTTGCTAGCGCTGGGATCACAGGGAAAGCAAGCCCAGCCGTGCTAGCCAAGTGGCTGCTACTTTGTCTGCCTCACAGCTGTCCGGGACAAGCCGCTTTAGAAGGCATCTGAAAGGCTTCTTGCCCTTTACACAATGGTGTTTACCCTTCCTTCTTGTATTTATGCCATGTGTTTACTTCGCTGAGTCTCCTAGGTAGGGCAGTGAAGATTGAAGGAGAATCCCTCCAAGTCATGGATAGTACGAGGGTTGCTAGCGGAGAGTCGGTCACTGAGGCCTCAGATTCCCTCAGCTGCTGGAGATGGACCCTTCTTTCTCAGATCTAATCCATTTACATAGCCTTTGCCCTACTCAGTCAACACAGCCTTAGAATAACACGTATTCAGGCTGGCAGGAGTCCTGCATAGAGATTACACAACATCCATTCATCAACTGTTAGGAGCAGCTAATGTTAAAGTCCTCCTGACCATTAATAACTAGAGATTATACAAGCCACTCATAACCAGGGTTGAGTACCTTCTCTGTTTGATCTACACAACAGCGCCCAGAGCTAATGGTTTCCATTAGCGCCATCAGGTCCCACCTTGCCTCTTTGTTTAGTGGCATCAGAACATTTGGTCCATTGCATATTATGGGAAGCAAGGCTCTGAGCAAGGGCAGCAAGACTAGTCTGATGTCACATCCAATCTAACAGCACATATATCCCTGTCTTCATAAAAGGCTTTAACCCTGCCTGAAACAATAAAAAAGCACTTGCGAACTGACCACAGAATTTTTCCATCTTTATTTTTCTTACTTGTTTACTTTTCTTAATGTCAGAACCATTTGTATCATGCGCAGGAATGTCTCCCTCAATGTGAGCTCTGGAGGCAGAAAAAAAAAAAGAAAAAGAAAAAAATTGGAGTGAGTTATTGAGCACAGTGTTTCCCTCTCTTTGGGTTGTTTGTTTTCTTCCAGAATGGTGTAATAACTTCAATTAAGATTAGCTTTAATTATAGCTTACGTAAAGGCCATCATGGCAGTATATTCATCTAACTGATGGAATTATAGTGAGTTTTGTTTCTCTTAAGTAGGGATGATGATAATGAATTATTGTCGGGTTGTTTACAACCCCATTGTCTGTTGAGCAACATCTGCCCTTCTAGAACTGGCCTGTGGTCTGCACTGGCAGCGGAGAAAGCCTTGAGCCTTGTTTATTTAAAATCTGTGGGAATTTCCTAAGCCTTGTTTTTCAAAGTTGGAAATTACAGGGTAATAAATTCATCTGAAGTCCAGACGTGTCTCATCCGTCCCTTGACACCTGTTTGTCTTCCTCACTTTGCTGCACACAGTGGTTCTTTGGGGATCACTCTTGGACAGCCCTGTCTCGCCTTCCCAGGCCACTGGTCTCAGTCTAGGGACCTGGGAGATGCATGGAATTCTGGAACTGTCTGTTGCTTCTGCTGGTCAGGGAGATGACCTTGCTCCTAAATAACACAACTTAAAACACTTTGTTCCTGGGGTCGTAATGTTTTAGATTGTGGGAAATCCTATTAAAAATAGTATTATAATCCTTTGCTTTACAGTTCTCAGCCTCACTCATAAAAGCTCCACTGTTTGCTGCTTTAAATAGAAGCATATTATAAAAGACCATCGCTTGATCAGGCTGCATATCTCCCTGTTGTGTGCTTTTTCACGTAGTCATGTGCTTTAAGGAATAAAAGAAAGCAAACTACAGACTGAGTGAAAGGTGTGTGTGTGTGTGTGTGTGTGTGTGTGTGTGTGCGTGTGTGTGTGTTTCTAATCAAGCTGTATCTTCGCCACTTCAATGGAAACCATCTTCCTTGCTCTTTCTAAGAAATAGCCTGGATGTCTTTCTCTTCTTAGCCATCATGAAGAATAAGAACAATCTACACCTACGAGGCTCTGTCACAACTGTAACATGACTCAGAAGTTTCCACTTGCAAGAGCAACCTGCGTCAGAGCTGTGTCACTGCCTGGTGCCCAGGGAAGATGCTAAAGGGCTTGCTGCCATTCTCCACCATTGCCTGTCTGCTGCAGTTCATCCTGGGTGACCTTCACTACTGCTTATTCCAGTGTTGTTCCCGAGAAGCCACCTTCCCTGAAGAAGGGTGTTACCATTACATGCCTCTGGCGTCTCCACTTTGTGTGGCTACAGTACTATAATCTACCCTGAGGGAAAAAGCGAAAAGAGACCAGAAAGGCATGAAGCATGCTGGTCGGTCACTTGTTTATGTGACAGCCAGGTCACTGAACCTTGACTTAACACCCTGGTGTTACTTATGTTGCTTCTGCCACTGTGTTTTTTACATGTTTCACCGGGATTTTATGTAATGTGAGTCCACACACATGTGACTGCATGCCACTGTTTGTGAGTGGAAGTCAGACAATCTGCTAGACCCAGGCTTCTCCTTCTACCATGCGGGACTTGCGGATGAACTCAGGTGGTCATTTTAGTGGCAGGCATCTATCAATTCCCACTGAGCGCCTTTCCAAAACATTGTCTTTCAACATTTGAAGAACACCACAACACAGACACCTCTTCAAAATCATTGTTTTTCTACAGATTTCTCTCAAATTTCCCAGTGTTGGTGGTGCTCCATTAGGTGACAATAACATAAATGTAAGTTGGCTACTCTGTGGTAAGAGAATTAATAAATTGTGTCATTTGTAAACATTAATACACCACTGTGTGAATATTCTTCTGAAGGAAAACAGGATGTGGCCAGAGATTAAACCAACTCAGGAAAGAGAGTTATGCTAGGAAAGAGGGGTGATATCTAATATAGCATATGTATTATGGGAAGTTAGGGGGACAGGGTAGTATGAATGGCAATAAAGAGGATTATGCCAAGGAAGAGCATGGGAATAGCCCAGATGTGGCATCTTGTGAGAAGGGTGGGCTCAGAACTGAGAATAATGAGAGAAGAGGAGGAAAGACAAATTTCTGCCAACCCAAAGATTTTCCCATGGAGGAACATCTCTGCAAAATGAAGTCCCGTTAGATATCATTGATTGGCGCCCACTGGACAGACTCAACAAGTTTCCCCACATGAAATAATAAAGCAATGAGGAGCAGATGTATTAGGTGCCACACGGACACATGTGCCTATGTATGATACTAACTTGTATCTGATGTGGGAGCTCACAGTCTTGAATACGTTCCATCTTGAGTAAAGTTTAGAGAGTTCAAACCTATACTTGCCCCTCAAGGTCAAATAAAATAGGATGTTTGGCCAAAGGTGTGGCTACTGCAGGTCTTGCTCCTCAAACGCCAGACAACAGAATGTTTGACTTAGGGCATAGTTACTAGGTGTTTTGAGATGTATGGAGGTAATTATGCTTGTTTGTTCCTTGTATCATGGGAGGGAAGTCTTTTGCCCTCCCCTCTTGAATGGGGTATAGAAGGGCTATGAGTAATGCAGTTGAGGATGGTACAGTATCCCCTGGCCCCTACCGACTCTATCTTCTGTCTCTTGTCTTCTTTCCTCATTCCTCAATCCCCTTTTCAGGAATGTGTGAACAAGTTTGCCAGGCCAACAGTGTAGCTGCTCACAAAACCTCCCATCCTAAGTTAAGTTTTCCTAGACCAACTAAAAGTGAAAGAAAACAGTGTCTGGGTAGGAAGATGAGAGAGAAGGACTTATATTAATATGATTCTTCAAAGACTCATAAGTCTAGAAGTAGATGTATTCCTAGACAAAGATGCTACAGAAATGAAGAAGATAGTTAAAAGACAGCAAGTGAAGACGTCTATGCGTGCAAAGATGCTGACAAAGATTTGAAAACCTTCTGATCCTAGATGGGAAAATTATCTCACAGATAGCACAGATGATATAGCACAGATGATATTTCAGTTCGTTTTTGAACAACCAAACTTAACCTGAAGAACACGTTAGAAAGTCTTTCTTGTCACATCAGTTACTCAGTGTAGCCAACAAATGTTTCTGAAAGATAAAGTCTCACAACCACCCAGTTTTAGGGCTCCAAAGCCTTCTGGTCTCCACATGTTGTTCACATGTGTTCATATAGGCATACACACATATGCATAAAGGAAAATAGATATTTTAAA